GCCATGGAGATGTGACCGGGTTCTCCTTGCCCCGGCCTCGCAGGCATTTTCATTTCATCACCGGGAGGAGACGGGTCCCTGCTTGCATCTGGGCTGGGCTGCACCCGCGCTGAGCGGGTGGACACGCACTGGAGCCGTGCTGCTGCGTGCTCCTGGATGCTTCAGCTTGATTCAGCAAGACTTGAGCCAGTTTGACTGCCCCAGCGCCTGCTGGAGGCTGACATCACTGACTGGGAACCAGTTAAACCAGCGGCACTCTCCCAGTCCATGCCAGTTCTCGTGGTCTGGCATGTGGTGGGGGCTGTTCTGGGGCTGGTCCCCTCTGATCTGGTCCTGGTGCTGATCATGGGGTGGAAAGAGGAACCTCTGCACTGGGAGGATCCCCTGGCTGGGATGCACGAGGTGTTGTGTCAACCTGACCTCAGCTGGACCGTCTCTGCATCCCACCATCGGACCATTCCCATCCCAGGGACCCCAGGATGGGGTGGAAAGTGTGAGAGGCTGCTGGCTGCCTCACAGACATCTCTGGGTGCCAGCTGAGCACAGGAGGGACAGGGATGGGGCAGGACGGCTCCTGGGGCTTCCACCCGTCCCAGTCTGGGAGCATTTTCCTTCCTTGGTGGACCAGGGCCCGGGCGACGCTGCCGGTGATGCTGCCGGCGCGGGCAGCTGGTCTCCATTTGGGAGGAGGCGTCCACATTCCTGGCATAGCCGCGGTGACCAAGGAATCTGCAGCGGCGCGTTCGGCCCCACCGGAGGGGAGAGCATCGCATGGCCAGGGACCCTGCGGCTCAGTGCTGGGCTCCTGTGGGGGACAGGGAACAGGGAGGAACAGGCCCTTGAGGGGGATGTTTCCGTCCAGCCCTAGGGGCAGTTCCTCCTCATCCTCCTGGAATGGTTTGGAAGCTGCCGTGTGTGAGGGGCACTGTCCCTGTGCGCCTGATGTGTCTGATGGCAGCATCGTGCTCGTGCTCCGTCCCCATTCCCATGCAAGGGGCACAGGCAGGGGCTATGCCTGAGCATCCCCCTCGCTGTCCCCTCCCAGCTTGCCCAGAAGTACGACCCACAGAAGGAGGCTGAGCTGCGGACGTGGATCGAGAGCGTCACAGGGCAGCAGATCGGGCCCGATTTCCAGAAGGGGCTGAAGGACGGGGTGATTCTCTGCGAGTGAGTCCTTGTCGGGATGGGGATGAGGGACCCCTGACAGCCCTTGGGGTGGGAAGGGTGGGCCGGATCCAGCCATGCTGGTGGGAGCCACCAGCCAGAGGGACCCCCAAAGCACCCATG